TCACTGGAAACCCGATCATTTCATGGGAGAAAACTGATTCCCGGCGGCTGCATGAACAATAAATAAACATCTATCACAGTGAAAGCATTTATGGCTTTATTTAGGAGTTACCAAGACCTAGGCTACCTAATACACCAAAAGTTTCCACTGAAAATAATTTCTATTTGTTACCTATTTCTTATCTTAATCCAAGTTGAGAAATTACAATTTATGGGGAATCTATTCATTTCTCCAGATGATCCAGAGAGATTTTTCCCTTTATTCTCTCACTTTACATTTCATTATGCTGTCTAATCAATTTCCTGTGAATCATTTTCAAATGCTTTGTGAAATGAGGTAGACAATAAAATATAAAGCAAGGAAGAAGGGAAGAAAAAAGGGGGGAAAAATGAAAAGTTAGGAAAGGATGGAAGAGGAAAGAGGAAATAAGTTAGAAACAATGATGTCCCATGGGGGTGAAAATGGGAAGTGTAAAAAATACTGTGGGTTGTTAACCAAACCCTTCTTCTTAGCCTGTTTCTACGATAATACCATGAAGGTTAAAAATTTCTTTACTCATGCTCTTTTGAAGCTAGCACTTCAGAAGGCAATGAATCATAAGCAGGAATCTGCTAGCTTTTTCTGGGAATAATTTTGCACTTTGGATGAAAGGGACAGATGAAGCTGCACGGCTACTTCTCCCTCCTTCCTTCTCTCTGCCTTAAATAGAATTGTGATATCTGGACTTGGGACAACTGTCTTGTGACCACGATGTGAGAAGCCTAAGAAAAAAACAAGAGAACCCTGGAGATGCCACTCAGACATTACTCAACTGCTTAGTGCATCCCAGCAGTCTCCTAACTCAAATCTTCCATGGTGAGAAAAAGAAATCCCTAATTTTTGGCTAATTTCTCACTGGAATTTTGTTTTAAAGCTTAAAAACTTCATAACTGATTCAGGACTATTAAAGACCAAACCTGAGAAAGTGGAATTAAGAAGTGACTGGTTGAAAAGGCAAAGAAGAGGAGAGTGTCAGAATTGAGTCTAAAGGTCCAGAAGGGTGGTGGCATGAAACATTAGGGTCATTTTAGTGGGAGACAAAACTAGAGCATACTGATTTCAGAGTGGACGTAGGATTTCCAGGTGTAATAGGGAGATGAGCATAAATTACCATTTTCGAGTGTGGGAGTACCCTGTAGCTTTCACTTGGCAATGAGAGTGGAATCATGGCAGTGGTTAAAATCTCTAGGGATAGTAATTCAAAAGACAATGAGGAGCAACTATATTCAGTGGGTGTAGAAAAGAAGAAATGGTTAGTAGAAACAAGTAATAGAATATGAAAAATTTAGAAATATGTAAGTGAGGCAGAGTTCTGCAATAGTGGGTTGGCCAATAATATAAAATAAAGTAAATGTCTTCAAAGACAAAAAATGAAAATGTATCTTCAAACTGACATATGCTGGCCTTCCCTTATAACCTGATGCTACGTTTAATTTTCATCAGCCTGCCCCACTTGTCACGGTCTCGGACCTTCTCATTTAAGAAAAGCCTCAGCATCTGAAACTCATTACATGAATCAAAACTGTTCTTTTGATTAACTAATTAATTTTTCTTTTTAGATGATCACTGGAAATCTTGTATTTTTTCTATGTTTCAAAATCCATTTCTATACCACCTATAGCCAAATAACGACAGACACAAAACCAAATGCAAATTGGGCAAGACACTTGCACAAGCATTTCTTAAAACACTCAGAAGGCAAGAACACATTTGAAAGATCCCAACCTCCTCAATAGTCAGGGAAGTGCAAATTAAAACTACAATGCATTACCATTACAAACTAATCAGATTGGCTATCGGTGAGGACATGGAGCAACAGATACTCTCATACATGCTGATGGGAGTATATACCAAATTGGTACAACCCTTTGGAAAGTTGGTATTACTGATTAGGATTAAACATATGTATACCTTATTTCCAAGATTTCCAATCCTAAGTATATATGTAACAGAAATCAGTGTGAATGCTTACCTAAAAAAATGTCTGAGGGTGTTGAGAGTAGCATTTACTGCAATAGCCCTCAAATGGAAATAAACCCCAAAATCTATCCTGATTAGAATGGAAAACAAAAATAAATTGTGATCTATTTCATACACTGAAACAATACACTGAAATGAAAAGAAAAACAAAACAACTGCTACCAAAACCCCCCACAAAACTACTGCTACATACTGCATGAAAGATCTCAGAAACATAATAGTGAGCCAGTAAGACAGATACAAAAGAGTACATATTAACACTTTTATAGATGGACAAAGTTAATATATATGGTTAGAGGTCAGGAGTGGTACCTTTGGAAGGAAGGTAACAGTATCTGAGAGAAGGCACAGTTGAGGATTCTGAGCAGCATAAATGTTCTAGAAGTTTCTTGATGTGGGTGATGGCTATAGGGTTCAAAATAATTCACCAAGCCACTTATTTATGAGTTGTGCTCTTTTTGGTATACATGCATTTCTTTACTTAATATTTTTTTCAAAATTCTTGTCCCCACTTCCCTTTCACATGATTATGAAATAAAAACTATTCTTATTGACTTTCCTTGCTCCATCTCAGTATCATTTTGGTTCATGCCATACCTCATTTCCAGAAACTTTCCTTTTTCTTTTTCTATCTTATTTAGCCATTTCTAACAGTGATTTTTTTATGCCTTTTTTTCCCTAGAATTTCCTAACTCTTTTTTGATTGACACCTTTAATTTTCTCTGCCTTTCTCTTCAGCTTTATCTTCATAGACCACCCAGGAGAGCTATGTGAGTCTAAATTTTAAATTCTCTCAACCTTCCATTGGGAATGGGAGAAATTGTCTAGCAAGAGTATAAATGAGTGTTAAAATAATTTTGATAATGGATAAATTGACGTCTACTCAATCACCATTTCACTCCCATAGTATCTGTCACTTCTGTGCAGTTACATTGAGATGGAACTGCTCATTCCTACCTTCATTTGACTGAAAGCTCAATGAGAGTTTCACATGGTAGGCATTTATTACACTTTTTAAGTAAAAGAAAGCCTGCAAAATACTGAGAGAATGTTTTAGCAAAGTAGTTAAGAATGAGAATTACAGGGCGCCTGGGTGGCTCAGTTGGTTAAGCGACTGCCTTCGGCTCAGGTCATGATCCTGGAGTCCCGGGATCGAGTTCCGCATCGGGCTCCCTGCTCAACAGGGAGTCTGCTTCTCCCTCTGACCCTCCTCCCTCTCATGCTCTCTGTCTCTCATTCTCTCTCTGGCAAATAAAAAAAAAAAAAAAAAAAAGAATGAGAATTACATACAGCACCTAAGTTAACAAATTTATTTTGTTTTTCAATTGGAAATAAAATGTGTATCTGAGCCACTTTCCATAGTTTTGTATTTGTTGAGGACAGTAAAAGGTGTGAGGGATCCTTCACTATAACAGCAGAATGTGTGCAATACAGCAGATATTTCATATTCTTCCTTCTCAACACTGAAATTATGAAATGGGCCCAGCTATCCCAAATTAATACTTGTGAAAAGAGGTTCAGAAAAGTCAAGTAACTGGCCCGAGATCATGTAACAATTAAATGACCTAGCCAAGATTTAAACCTCAGACTGTGATTCCAAAACGCATGGTCTTTCTTTTCTATCTTCTCATTTCAATGAAGGTTAATGAGACATGCATGTATACTAAGGGGATCAGGGACTGTGATTACTTGCATAACTTTTAAAATATAATTTTTTATTGACCTCCCTTTATTTTGGTGTTTAACATTTAATGCCTAAATTAAGAAGACATTCTCTTTATATCTTTTGTAATGCACCACTTTCACAGTTATCCATCAAACCAGTTGGAAGTTGTGGTTGGAAATTCCTAGAGACTGCTGATAACGGTGCTAAATTTCTTTTCATTAGTTCTATTCATTAGCTTCAATAACTGAATATATTAACTAGACCTCACACATATATTAATCCCATAACTTATTAATGTTCAGAATAAAATTCGATTGTCACCTTTTTAAATGCATAATTTCATTGCTGAATCAAATAGAACTGTTATTTAAGGATTTTAAATACAAATTGTAGCTGCTGAATACTGTTCCTGATTTCTTTTTTTTTAAAGATTTTATTTATTTATTTGAGAGAGAGAATGGGAGAGAGAGAGAGAGCATGAGAGGGGGGAGGGTCAGAGGGAGAAGCAGACTCCCCGCCGAGCAGGGAGCCCGATGTGGGACTCGATCCCGGGACTCCAGGATCATGACCTGAGCCGAAGGCAGTCACTTAACCAACTGAGCCACCCAGGAGCCCCCTGATTTCTTTTTTGCAGGCAAACGAATACTAAAAACACTTTTTAAAAAAAGAAAAACATAAAGAGACACGATTTCAAAATAGTAAACAATGTAAGTGTGACTTGGAAATATGTAGGGAAAAACTCTCATTATTGGCAGGATCATAACTTCTCAAGATAAGAAAAAAGTGGCTTTTTAAAAGTACACTGTGTATAACTCGATCTACTGTTAACTTTTATTCTGCATCTCCCTTTCTTCAAGCACCTAAGTTTAAGTGAGAACTGAATCACATTTAGAATGAGTTATAATACGACCAAGTACCGGAGTTGTGTTTCAACGGTCCTAGCATATGTAGGTATTATCTGAAGTATTCTGACTCATGCCTGCTGACGGACTAACTCAGTACCAATGACATCACCTTGCAGGAAGCTCACCTGTCTTGCTGATTAGAGGCCAACTTTGGGACAGCAGATGGTAGTGAGGAAGTGAGACAACAGAAGTGACCAAAAAAAAGGTTGAAATAGAGACGCCTAAAGCAAAAGAGTGCAGATTTTTTTCTTTTAATGTTAAGGCTTACTGTTTTTTTGGGTTTTTTTGTTTTTTAACTCTTTAAATAATTTTACACAGACACAAAGGTATTTCACTAGAAGTGCAGTTAGAATACTCCTCAGTAGAGTGATGTTTGGGGCAAGGTGCGAAGGAGAAAATGATGTGCATACCTTTGCTTGTCCAGCTCTTGTGATGGCAGGTATATTAAAGACCTGTCCAGTGTAAAAATGCAGCCCACTGAACAGGATCACTGCAATCGAGTCTCCTTCCTTCTCAATTACTTCAAGGATATCCTCTATTCTCAATGTTTCTTCCCCCTAAAGTTGAGTCAGGCACAAGTTACATCCAATCCACAAAAACACGTTTGTCACTTCATATTTCCCAATCTAAAATTCACCTTGAGCTCTTGCCCACATAAGAACAATCAAAGACATTTTTTTCAGATTAATGGTCTTTGAAAGTCTGGCAAGAGAGCAGCATTTCAGCACACTTTTTGTTATTATAAGAAATGATAACAAAAGGGTAAGAAAAAGGCTTATAAAGTTAAGTCTTTGCAAAACCCTACTTGCTTGATTTATTCTTCAGTTTTTCAATTAATCTTTACTCTTTACATGCCCACAAATTGTTTTCTCCTTATTCCCATCCAATAAAATACCAGAAAGTATGAGAAGTCCCTGAAATATTAAATGGCAAAATTTTCTTGGAAATTACTTCATTTATCAATCCATCACCTTATGTTTTCCAGGATAAAAAACACACATCTTTCATCTGAGTATAACCTAACCAATATTTTCTGTTATCTTAAGAGTAGACTCTCCTCCATACTGACCTAAAGATCAAGCTCCAAAAATGAAGAGAAATATCAATAAAACTCAGTATCAAGGTTAGTTTTTTCTACTTCTCCCCAGCTAAAACTAACGACTAGTTACTTAGTGGAAATTCTGAGTGAATTTAGATTTGGTCTTGCAAACAACTTGAGCAAAGAGAAATCAGCTAAATACAAAATATCTATTTGTATCCTAATCATTCTTATCCATTTACAAAGTTTTTATAAATTTTCTCCAGTGCTAAATCTGACATCATCTTTAAGGTCAAAGCATCATTAACTGCATTAATATTTGGGGGAAGTTCATTAAGTTATTTTTAGTTTTTGATAATTCTTGCTATTTATCAATTACTGTGTCCCATGTTAGGCACATATATATGTATCACAAATATAGCATCTACTTTAGTTTCTACTAGAAGTCTGGAACTTGTTTACGAAATTGAAATCTATAAAAAAAAGTACTGATACTGAAATCTCTAAATTGTTAACTGATGGGTATTTTATATGTAAAGAGAAGGATTTCAGTAATTCTAAGACAAATTCTAAATAAAATCAATAACATGGTAATCCAAAACTTTTTTTTTTCTTAAAAGAAACTAAAATGGTTTGTCTACCATAATTTCAAATAGAAGATAAAGAAAAGTATTATATATACTAATTATTTATTTAAATCAGTATAAAGCAGTATAAAGAATATGGTTCTCTCTGATGTTGACCTGCTCTAATCTAGTAATGCTAAAGAATGCTCTCAAAATTTATGATTGACTCATGAGGTTCCACAACACATCTCTTTCAACATTAAAACTTCTGATAAGTTAGTGGCTGTCTTCATTTTTGCTGGAAATTAGCATTTTATATATGACATATGAAACAGATATCCTGTCATTGGTATGAGAACTTTCTATTCCATTAATTGACTGCATGTTGGCAAATAGAACTAAATGGAGTAGATTTTAATTTCTCAAAGTATTCTGGGTTGAAAGAAATCATTGTTCAAACACTGGCTTAACAGCCTGGGAGCATCATTTGTGAAATCTACAATTTATTCTGTGTGGATCTCTGGGTGCCAAATTACACAAACTGCAGAGCCTTACATCTCTATTAATGTAAAGTGCACAGTATTTTAGATCTTGAACATATGTCAAGCCTGATTAGGTGTTTCCTTTGTTACCTGTTTAAATATGAAGGAATCTCAGAGAGATAAAGTAACTTTCTCAAAGCCCCTTACCCAGTAAATTGGTGGGCCTGGGATTTCTGTGGAGTGTATTAGCCAGGCCGGAAGGCCCAAGCTCTTCCCGCTACACCACATCCCTTTCTACACCCTCACCCCATTCAAGCACAAAGGAAAACATTTGATACTTAGATTAAAAAGATATAAAAGATAGGCATCATTCAGTTTCAACAAATATCATTTTAAAGGCATCCAAAGGCAATGGTATTTGGAATTGAAAATGATATATACGGGGTGCCTGGGTGGCTCAGTCATTAAGCGTCTGCCTTCGGCTCAGGTCATGATCCAGGGTCCTGGGATCGAGCCCCGCATCGGGCTCCCTGCTCCGCAGGAAGCCTGCTTCTCCCTCTCCCACTCCCCCTGCTTGTGTTCCCTCTCTCACTGTGTCCCTCTCTGTCAAATAAATAAATAAATAAATAAATAAATAAATAAATAAATAAATAAATATGCAATTTGCCATCCCTTTCCATCCCACTGAAGAATATGGCAAACTCCAGGGGTATTCATAGGAAAATAGTTTGCTTGTAATATGACTATCCCTTGAAACTTCTGAGTTAATTCTCCATTTTAAGCAAAATGAGCTAGCAGTAATGGAAGTATAGGTCTTTTATACTTTCTTGAAAGTTCCATTAAAGTAATGGAAATAATTAACTTTTGAGGAAAATGAAGAAAAAAATCAATACTAAATAGAAACATAATGAATATTTATTTCTCTTTCTCATATACCTCTCTTGGCTTTACAATCCGCATACTTTTCTCAATGTTAAGTCCATGAAATTGAAGCTGTGACTCAATAGCATACTGGAAAAGAAGAATGATTTATTGAATCAAGTCCAACGCACAGACGTACATTGAAATAACTCCGAAAAGAGATAATAAAATAACAATAAAATCATATTATTGTATTAAATCTAAGGTCAAGTTTAAAAGTGACTGAACAGAATACACCAGAAAAGAAGTGCTTAATATAATTTATATGCAGGAATCTGAACATTCCTTGAAACACTGTATCTTAGAAATGTATGGAAGCATAGGGGTCATCTAGACTTTAGAGAGTTCTAAGAGATTTGTAGAAGATATTAAATCGCCTAACCTACGTCAAAACCAGAGTTTACAAAATAACCAGAGTGAGTAGTGTGGACTTGCTATACTTGAACTAGCTTATAGGAAGGGCTTACCCTAAAAAGAGTAAGCTAGTAAAAGGAAAGAACATCAGAAAGTTCCCTTCACTGAGAGTACAAGATATGAACAGGAACAGGAAGTTATAAAGACCCTGAATTTTTTCTCAGTATTAGGATTTTGATCCTTTTTAGTAAAGTAATGGCTATTAATTTGGACATAATTAAATGACTTAAATTACAAGATGTGGATTAGAACAGTTAACGGTGATAATAGAAAGACAGAAATCAAATTTCTCTCTAACACTAAAACTGAAAAATGCAGTATACTTTTATCCACGTCTATGTCTGGAATGATCAAATTTCTTAAAGAAGGAAGATTTAATAAACCATAAGAAATATTTTTCATCCTTAATAAATGTTTTTTCAGTAATAAAGCACATGCTAGCATGCTATAGAAAAATAAAAGTTTTATCCCTATTCTATGTAGCTAAAGCGTTAAGCACCGGGGTATGTATTGATTTGATTTCATAAAATAAAACAGCAACAAGAATTAATAAAACATTTATAACTGCACTTGATTTAAACCAGCGGTTCGCTCAATGTTTTGAAAAAGACTAATAAATCAGTGTTCCTATTCAATCCTTTCCTCCCCTAACACGTTTTACTTGAACAAAAGAAATAAAGCTACAATCTATATTTTAAAAATGCCTAATCAAAAGCATTTGACAGATCTTTTTATTGTAAGGTTACTTGGAAAAGACTGGAGAATAAACTATTCAACACAGGCAAATGGTGTGCTCCTCTAGGAAGAGTAGAAAGAATATAAATATAATTTGAAGAATCCTTACATGATCTGAAGGGAAGGCTTTGGCTTCAAGAAGAATTTTATACCGTTTTGGTGTAGGCTTAAAAAAGGATAACTGCAATGAAATGGATTTATTAAGAAAAGCATTCATGCACAGTTTATACATTTGTTCATTTTATACCATACTTTCATTTTATAACCTCCAGCATTTTAAAGGCATGGCTCAATGACATATCTAGATGTCTGTTAAGGGTTCCTTTTCCAATTAGCCTTATTTCTAATGAATTATAAAATAAAAGAAAGTATTGGCTCATTACATTTATCAACAGAAAAGCAAATTTGGGAGATAACGTGAATGAGATAAAAACAAAGCTTTACTTAAATTTTAATTGAAAAATGGTCTTCCCAGTGCCTTTAATGGTAATTTCTGTTGTAAGACTGAAATATCATGTTCTATATAAATTTTATGTATATTGATTTATCTTATGCTGCTGATTTGGCTTCTGGTACATAATATTTCCATTGCCTTATAATTTTATGGGATTTCATTTTAGGTCCAACTGAAAGGCCTCAACCCTAACATGAAACATTCAACATTTCTAGAGGCACCAGGGAGGAGTAGCTCATTTGTTCAGGGGAGAGCCCTTCGTTTTCCTCCACAGTTCCTAGAGAATAAACATTGACTGATGACGGTAACAATGAAATGATCACTACTGTTGACTTAGTGTTGATCACTGGTCAGGGTGCGAAAGCAATTTTCACATATTATCACATTTCACCCTTGTATATACATACCAGGTAGGTATTCTTGTCCTCATCTTCACAGAGAGAAAATGAAGATGTAGAAATCACCGAAACCTCATCCAAAGTCAGACATTAAGTAACTTAGCTAGGAATCAAACCCCGAGGTGTCTGAATTTAAAACTATGCTATTTACCATCATGTTTAACATACTCCGTGAACGTGTTCCTTTAGGGATATTTAACAATCATTTCTTCATTTTTATCAAAATAAAATACTAATATATTCATTGTGTGCTTTGGTCACATGGACATGTTTCCAAAAACTCACTTAAAAATGAAATAAAAATTTTTCAAACATCAAGTAGTTACTACAGACACCATATTCCAAATCAAGAATATATTTGACATTTTAAGGTATACATATTATTAAGTACTTAGGAAGTAGGAAGCACTTTAAATACAGTAACTCATTTAAGGTATTAGATCCCTTTTCTCCAATTTAGTTCTATTTTCTAATTCTTTTTTTAACTTTCTCCCCCAAAATTAGTCTATAAAAACATAACTGATCCAGAATGTCACCCTGCTAAAGTCCACCATGCTGGAAAACTATCTTTCTGAAAAGCTCAGTGTTTGTTGGCATTTGTACATCATTGTTTTGTGTGCTTGCAAGCAGTTTTGCTTTTAATCCACTGTGACTTTTATTCCTTATGTTCTGAGGTAAGAACCATTCATTATTCTAAAGCTCTTTGCAAGAGTCAACTCTCCCATGACTATGAAGAAGCCTTTCTATCACAGTCCAGAATTTCCTGGTAAAAATGAAAATAACCTCACAACTTATTTTTAAATAAGTAAACCACCAGATGCTCATGAATTAAAGATAGAAAAATGTCAGATTCTACAAATGAGTGTATACTAAACATTGGTGGGAAAGGATACTTACCAGTAGAAGATGTAAATTAACAGTCAAACCATTCATTAGGGCTATTTCTTTCTCATTGGCTCCTGCAAAGTAAACACATCATGATTTAGATTTTTCTATTAGTGCTGAAGTTACTTGGAACAACAAAGTAGGGAGGCTTCACTCCTTCCTCCTTTATGTTTTTAGAGATAAGGACATACCTGATGTGTCATCACAAAGAAATGGAAGTTTTCCCACTTGCCTCATTTTATCAAACGGTATCTGGACTCACATGCACATAGCTAGCTAAAATTATACTTGCTTTTTGATATAGTAAATAATGGCAACAAAATAATGAAGCATTTCCTTATTCCTGTAAACTAAAAATGATTTATCCTATTTTCAGGTAGTTTGCCAAATTCCCACAGAGTACATTTTTGTGGTAAGTGTATCTCAAAAGAAAGCGGGGCCAATCACATTTTTAGAACTGGTTGTTTCTAATATCCAATTAAAACGCACGTTTAATAAAAGAGAGCTAGTTTGCCAAACATACTTCATTGTTATTACAGTGAGATATATAATAGTTTATTAGACAAAAGAGCTAGAAAGCAAAGCACAAAGACCTAAATAGCTCTGGGATTTATTCATAGACACTGAGATGAAAGATAATTAATAGATAGGTATTATTTGATGGAGAACATATGCAAAATTAAGATAACCACTACACAATCATAATCTGATCTAATTCTTAGTAATGAGTGCTTGAGCACTAGAAATAGACCTAAAGACAAAGCATACATTGGATACTTAAGAACGCAGAGTATAACAACAACAATACTTTCATATTTTTAGTTCTTACAGTCTCTTAAAAGCAATTAGACCTGTATAGTAGGAAAATCTCTTGAACTATCACTGAGAAAAATAGGTTTTGTGCCATTGTTTGTAAAGCTGTATGAGGCATTAGAGAAAATGTGTAATATAAGTCCTGTATTTCACATCCAAAGAGATACTTCTGTTAGAGTTCCATTTTAGAAGAGGAGGCAGTAAGTAAAATAATTAATCTAATTTACAGCTGGATTTCAGGATAAGTTCACTTGAGGGCAGGCCACTAGAGATAAGTGTATAACAGGAATTTCTATTTCAACACAGCCATTTAGTCGAGAAAAACTTCCGATTGCATTTAACAGATGGCTTTCTCCATTTGATGTGCAATGTTGGTAAACAATTGGTTAAAAGCTTTATCTCTGGTCCTTGTAAGGTGAACAGTGTCTGAAGTCAAGGCACACTGAGACCAATCTCATTCTACATTCCTAGTACTAAATAAAATTTGTCCTAGACATACGAGATAGATATGAATATGATAACCTTATGTTGCATACGGTAGCATATGTCTTCTCCTACAATATGAAAATCTTTTGGAAATATGTGAAAGAAACGCTGCCAGTTTTACTATATTTATTTCTTTGCATTATGGTATGAATTTTTACTGTTATTTCTAAAACAAAACATTATCTAAGATATCTAATCTAATATTATCCTTAAATCCCTGTTAGCTCTTTACATGCATCTTTTCTGAGAACCATTTATTTCCAAAAATATTTTGGCAGAGAAAGTGCAAGGAGAAAGGAGAAAAGGAAGGAAAAGTAATTTTATAAGGAGAGCAGAATTCATAGAAAGAGAAGCATTTGAAAAAAAATGTAATGAGAAGAAAAAAGAATTCAGAGGTTAGTTACCACAAAATGAAAGCAAAGAACTAAAAGAGGCAAGAAGGGAAGGAGACTTTCTTTTTTTTTTTTTAAGTTTTATTTATTTATTTGTGAGAGAGAATGAGAGAGAGAGAGCACATGAGAGGGGGGAGGGTCAGAGGGACAAGCAGACTCCCTGCCGAGCAGGGAGCCCGATGTGGGACTCAATCCCGGGACTCCAGGATCATGACCTGAGCCAAAGGCAGTCGCTTAACCAACTGAGCCATCCACACGCCCGGGAAGGAGACTTTCTAATGGAGGTTAGATATCCTAGTTTTGCTTAACAATTGCAATCTGATTAAAATAATTGTAGATTCCTTGAAAATTTTAGTCCTCCAAACAATACAGTGTTCATTTTGGATCACTTAAAATTTTTCTTGTGAAGAATGTAATGAACCAGATGTGGTAGGCTCAATTAATGTAGACATACACTTGACCCTGTGCTACTTACTCCCTCACTCTCAGTGGCATACGAACACTCGGATCAATTCTTTGTAAATAATCCCTCACTGACTTGAGTAATTCATCTGCCACCATGCACAAAAATTATCTCCTCTTAGAACACTCCAAATTCAAGCAAGCACTTCACGAAATGCTCTCCTCACCTGCTACTGAACTTGGTGAAGGCGACGGTGAGTCTATTTAACATGTGCGCATGTGTACACAGGGGTATCTGAGGACGGTGCAAATATTAAAGTTTCAGGACATTAACGCAGACGTTTACTTCAAATATAACCTAAAGGCACTAAAGAATCAAGGGTTCCTAACACCAAAGCACCACACATCAGACTAATTTTTAGCATCTTTTTAAAGGAAAATTTACCTACTTGACCTATTTTTTTGGTTCCAATTGCGTTTCTGAAACCAACACTTGTTCTTCTAAGATATATCAATATCATCAGCATTCCATAGGAAAATAAAAAAAAAAAATTAAGCAAACTGAAATTCTTTCGAGTTGCTTTTCTTTGTTCTTTTTTCTTTTTCCCAAGATCTTTTTTTGAATTACTGTTGAAACATCAAGAACTACAAGTATTGCAGGGCAAAAATTTTTAAAAACTTCCTGAACTCTTATCAGGATTTAAAAAAAGAGTTTTTACTTTAGAAGATCATCTACAATTCATTGCAGTAAATATCAAGATTTGAATCACCTCATCGAAGATGGGTACAAGCCAGGATTCTCGTTTGTGGAGTGCTTTCCTGCTTGTTTATTTATTGATCATAATTTTTTGCTTTACCAGAGGTGTACCTTAGTTAAAAGCAAGCACGGCCTTCTGATCTCAATGCCTGGCACACGAGTGTTTATTGAGTCCTTACTATGTGCCAATACTTCTAACTATGTGACTTGTATTTTTTTACATATTCTTCAGTCACACAGTAACATATCTACTTTAATTGTCTATATTTATCAATGAGGAAACGCGTCCGAAGAGATGAACTAACTCACCTCAAGTCTCATAGATAAGAAGTAAGACAAAATCAACCTTGTCTTAGAAAAAAAAAAAAAGATTAAAATCTTTGTTCCAGATTACATTGGGAAGCGTTGTCTACATTATCCACTCCCTGTAAATCAAATACAGGAAGCCCATGTTCATTACCAACATTCCTCTGCATCTTTTTAATTTTAATTTAATTTCAAATATTTTGCCAAGAGAAGATGACAGGGCCCCAAGCTGCTTAGTGTTTAATAAGAGGATACGTGACGGATCTCCTAACTGCCATCCATGTTCTATATAATTGATTAAGCAGACGCAAATGTTATTGTGGATTTGCTTGTAAGGTTTGTAATCAGGCTAAGTCTCAGAACTTTCCACTCTGTCTTTCAAGTAGTAAATTCCTGTGGCCTCCAGAGGTGGCTAGTGCATGGGTGAGGATTCGTAACTGGAGACAGCTTATAGGGATTATTGCTTCTCAGAGGGTCAACCACAAGTTTCATAAAGCAAATTTATGTCCACATTACAACATTTTTATAAGCTGATATGCATGTATCTAGCCCTTTGTGATTTTTATGTACCCAGGGAGAAGTAGGCTTAATAACAATACTAATAATATTCTTCAGCAATTCTATTTCTAGCATCTTGATAATATGACATTAATTATAAGGGAAAGTTATTCCATGTTTTGCAGAATTGTTGGCTCTATATAAAATGTTTTATTAACAGTTTTTCTTCTCTTCTAAAATTGAAATTCTTTTCTACATCTATGAAAAAATATAGTTGCTCACTGTCTCCTCCTCCCCTCTATCCACTCTACCAATTGGTACACATAATAATTTTTGTTATCCTCCTGTTACTTCTGTTTGGGAAATTTTATGGTGAAATAAAGACTGTGGTTTTAAGAACCTGAAAGATTCAATCATTGCCCCAAATATACAATGTGTCTGTTTGCTCATGACACATTTACGTAGCTTGCAGGTAGCAAAAATAAATTTGACTTCTGCTGCTTTTTACTGTACTTACCAGATAATTATTTTAATTATTTCATGATTTATGGAGCCTGGATTTCCAAGCAGGATTTGAGGTTTCTTGGGTTACAAAGTGAGGAAGAAAGATGCAAATGAGAAACAAATAGAAACTGTTACATGTTTTTGCTACTTCCAATTCAGTATTTTCTCAGAATTTCCTAGTGAACCAGGCAGAAAGGGAACCTGGTGGGATTTGCAACAAATAAGATAAACACAAATATGCGTAAAAACACTTTATTTTTAATCTATTCCTAATAAAACAGAGTGAACTTACTCATTTTTCACCTTGACTTAAGAACCATTTCTCTGACTAATATACACAATTTAAAAAGTAAAGAAATTTGGGAGATAACAGTTACTGACATTTTTTTTAAAAAGTACAAGTTTTTAAAATATTTTTTCTAATACGCTTTGTAGACACTGTCAATTCACATTCCTTTGGTCAACAAAAAAATAGTAGAAGTATTTCTTCTGACAAAACATGAATTGTAAAGAACAAAACAAACATTTAATAAACTCAGAATTAAAACTAAAAATCAGGGGCGCCTGGGTGGCTCAGCTGTTAAGCGTCTGCCTTCAGCTCAGGTCATGATCTTAGGGTCCTGGGATGGAGCCCCGCATCAGGCTCCCTGCTCAGGGGGAAGCCTGCTTCTCCCTTTCCCACTCCCCTTGTTTGTGTTCCCTCTCTCGCTGTGTCTCTCTCTCTCTGCCAAATAAATAAATAAATAATCTAAAAAAAAAAAAAAACAACTAAAAATTACCTTTGTTCACTGAAAACATTTCAAATGAAATATTATATTTGTCAGAAATGACGAGACTTTGGAAAGACTACCTACCTTAAATTATTTATTATATATGCTTATTGTTACTTACAATACATAGTAATTATGATATATGT